GTTAATATAATTTTTTATCAAATGTGTTATAGAAATCATTATCGAAATTTTTCATTTACCAAAAACCAGCTTTCGAACTTCTTGTTCTAAACATCTCAGTCAGGTTTAACTCTCACAAACTACACCACAGGAAAAGACACATGCTTCTGGTAGTAAGACATATTGTGTCTGCATTTGTGTTAATTCTGACTAGCCTTTTACAGTTTAGCGACCAAGTCCTGATTCCATTGACATCAGTAGCAAAACTCCCACTGACTTCAGTGTTTGGATCTGTGTGATTGTTTCTGTCAGACATTTTCTGTAAATAAAGTTTTGAACCTGAGATTTATTTTTTACACTGAAGATCCAGAATGATCCCTCAGTCCATATTGTCTGAACCACTTTAAGTGCAGCCCAGACTACAGCCACAATAACACCGTGGCATGTTTAAGAACTGAGACATTGTGAAGGCTCCTAAAGAATTTGCAAATCACGTTGGCAGATCTGAGGGTATAATGATATGGATTTGACTGAGTGTTCTGCTGGAAAAATCATTGTAGCCATCAGCTCTTTGTGGGGGGGGGGTGGGATGTACGCACACATTTTCATGACACATTTCAGCTCATTGTTATTGGTCTTATCCACCCAGGGATGGAGCATGTGGGAAAGCTTTGTACCTTCCCCAGATGTGGAGTTCCTTAGGTGCAGCAAAACAGGGCTTCCTTCTGGCACCTTACAAAGTGTGCAGGAGTCCTTCCTCAAATGCTCTGCGCCTGTAATGGTGTAATGATTGGCAGTTCCAGCAGCTAAGCGTGGGTGTGATCAAGCTGCTTGCTTGTAAACAGGAGAGACTCTTCCCTGCGCCTCTGTCTATGCTCAGTGTGGGGTTTGTAAACCCCATTACAGGTGTAGAGAATTTGAGGCAGGACTCCTGCAGGAGTTACTCTGGAGTTTAACAGTGTAACTGAGAGCAGAATTTGTCCCATAATCACCATGGGGTTAGTTTACCTCCAACTTTCATTTTCCTCTCTAAACCCAATTCACTGCCTTAAATGTTCATGACCATGAATATGGTAACTAATGTCTATATGGCATTAGGGTGCTTGTGTATTATGGTTCTATTACAAATGGTTTTGGTTTATGTCTTGTCCTAAAACTTTTTGAGCTCAGAAAACATGAACCCACAATTTTTCTAAGGGCTAGATTGTGCCAACCTTACTTACATTGAGTCGTACCTTTCTCCTTGTGTGGCCAGTTGAAATCAATGGCTAGCGAAGTGAGGTACTACTTACAAAGTGAGGTACTGCTCAATGTGGTTAACAAGCTAGCTCAAGATTTATAGCACCTTGATGGTTTAATCTAAATATACAACTTGTAAAATATTAAAATATTACTTTTCCAACTTCAGTTTGCCAGATTTTGAAGGTAGAATCTCATAGTACTGTTTCTGTTGTAGTCCATCTAGTCAGTGAAACAGACAGAATTAACTTTGTTCTATTACCATGATTTCTACAGCATAGAAGAAAAAAACTGTAAAGTTTTCTGTCTGCAGTTATTTATAAAACATTTTATTTCTTAGGCAGTAACATAGTATTACTCTCAGAACTCTTATCCCTTAATAGTCAAACCAGTTTCTGGAATTTTAAACTATGTCACTCCAGTTAATGTCAATGAGAGACACATATTTTATAATCCCCAACAGTGTAGAGGAAATATTGTTTACTGACTAGATCTGGGGACTGAGTGTCAGGACTTCTGTTTATATTTTCTGTTCTACCAGGAAGTCACATACCCTGTCTCTGACTGTTTTCTCCTGCTGCCAATGAGTATGGTAATGCCTAGCTATTTCACACGGGCGATGCCGAAGTCTCATTATTTTATTTATAAAATGTTTTGAGATCCTCTGTTTTAGTTAAAAGCCCTACATGTATTATGATGATGTATCGCCTACTACTGGGTTCAATATAAAATGAATATGAAACACAGCTTTCTTGCTCAAGGTGGACTAACCAGACAGCAGATCACTTTAGGGAGCCACCAGCCCCACCAGCTCCTTTTACTTCTTTAAAGAAATGCCAAGAAATCGCTTTGAAGCTCTCTTTTAATACAGCTCTTCCATTTTTTGTAAAGCTCTTCCACTCCAGTGCTGACTTGGCCTCACAATGTAAAGCAATGTAGGTTGGCTATAGCAGAAGATTTTGGAATGCACAGGTGCTGGAACTAGGAGTGCTGAGGGTGCTGCTGCACCCCCTGGCTTGAAGTGGTTTCTATCATATCCAGGGTTCACAGTTTGGTTCAATAGCTCTCAGCACCCCCACTATGCAAATTATTCCCAGCACCCCTGTTGAAATGTATATTGTGTCATTTTGTATTGTAGATTTATCAAATAGAAAATTACTAAATGTATCCTTTTGTACCACAGATCTGCTCACAATCTCTTCATTAAATAAAAAATAATGTTGGAACACTGATGTTCTCTTGTGTTGATGGTGTTATCTCCAAATGAGTAAAACCAGTGACAGGTAGCACAGCTGACAAGTTTAAAAAAAGATGGCGGTTAGCCTTTGATGTGTCATGGTGAAATGAAATGGATAAAATAATTATTTTCTACTGATCCCATTTTTCTTTTTGATATTTTTTTCTAGAATTTAAAAAGTGTAACACCACTGACACACATTAAATCTACAGTGTGTCTTTAAGACCATCAACGTTTTAGCAGAGCAATCCTAAAATGTGAGCAGTTTCTGAATCAGCTTGACCTTTTATGCTCTCTGCTGAAAGGAACGAATTTTCCATCATCCTTTACCGAAAGATGTAAAAAGTATTGAGTAAGATAGGGGTGGGGTTTTTTTAACGCTCTCTCTATTACATTTACTGTACATTTAATTTGCAGATAGTCTATTGTTTCTGCCAGTTGTTGGCAACAGAATATACTTCTTTTTTTTTTATGTTTTATCGATGTAACTGCCCAGAATCTTGCACATACACCAATGGATGTTTTTATAATCCTGATAAAAATAATGTTTAATTATTTCAGCTGTTTACTTGGGCTCTGACCCTGCAAGAAATTGTGTGCATGTTTAGCTCTATGCACTATGATTAGTTCCACTGAATATTCATAGGGCTTGATCCAGTGCCCAATATGGTCATTAGAAGGACAAGGCATTGGATTGTGCCACATTCCATAAAGTTCAGCACACCCATACGTCTTTGCAGGATCAGGGTCTAGTACTTTATCTGTCATTCTGAAAGTTAGAATCAAATGCCCTGGCAATGCATCTGTGAGAGGAGGAGTTCTTTGCCCAAAACCCATTTTTTTTTGGTAAGGAAAGTTGATTTTGTAACTCCTGAACACTGCTTTGAAAATACATTAATCAGAACAGACTCAAATAATTCATTATCCTATTGCTTAGTGCAATCAATTCCTTTTTTGGATGTCGTATGTATTGCTAAAGACGCACCCATCCTATTTAGCTTTAATTAAGCAAATGTTAATGGAATTCTAAAATTTAGTGTTGCTACTAATACATATGAACCCTCAGAAATTACTCATTAATCTTTGTTATCTTCATTACCTACAAATGATTCCTTCAGGATGATCACATCAAGATGACATTATTTGTGTGGTAGACTTCATAAACAAATGCATTTCCAGAACAAGGGCACTGATTTGCAAAGTAACTAGCTAATCAGTGGGCTCTTATTTTAAAATCTTTTACCATTCTCCTAGTAAATATTGTTTTAGCAATTTTCCTTAAAGGGCCAAATCCTTCTTTAATTACTCCTGCAAAACTCCCATTGGTTTAAGTAGGAATAAGATGACCAAGATCTATTTCCAGATGTTTATTTCACTTTGATGGATTCAGGTCTGCAACTTTCATTTTCATTTACAGGATGCGTTGGAGTTTGGGATAACATTACTTGCTGGCGCCCTGCTGAAATTGGAGAGACTGTCAGTGTCCCTTGTCCAAAAGTATTTAGCCACCTTTTCAGCAAACCAGGTATTTGTTTTAAGTTATTTTATGTAACTAAAGTGGCCTTTTTTTTTTTTTTTTTTAAAGAAAAACCTCACGCACTGCAAGGTTCACCTGAAACCATTCAGTTGGGTGAAATCTATTCTGTCTCTATGGCAAATTTGCTCATGTACAGTAAATTGTAAAAGCATGTATTTGGAGTTTAGGATATTGTCTTATTTTTAGAGAGAGAAGAGTGAGCCTTCTCAGTGGTGCCAATTAGAAAGTATGAGATGCCATCATGAAAGCACTAAATGAATTGTGCCAATTACCCAAATGCTATTCAGATTTCAGTCGATGTTCACATACATTGACACTAATCAAACCTGAGGGCCCTGCTGTGTTTGACCTGACTACATCAGTCATGATTGCCACCTAGATGCAGCTCTTTTAGAAGCTAGTCACTGCCTCTGTGCCTATGGGCAGTTCCCATTTGTTTGTGGGAAGAGGTCCCCTATCCTCTGGTGATGAGCACTTAAAAATGCATGCAACAATGCTACATAATTTAGAAAAATTAACACTGGTGGGAATTACATGGGATTATAATCACCTTCATGTTGTTTTTTACCACAACCTGAAAGACCCAGCTTAATCTCTTAGCCAGGTTGCTAGGGGGCCTAGTTTAGCTGGTAATATCCAGTATCACATCTATCCAGGGTGCTTTAATTCTGCAGCACATCTGGTCAGTGCAATTTATAATATTACATAATGCTTACATTTAGATGGTCACATGTAGATCTCAAAGTGTTTTGCAAGTTGGGTAAGTATTATTTTCCCGGTAAGGAACCTGTGGCATGAAGAAGTTATATAACTGGCCCAAGTTTACATTGTAAATCACAGAGTCAGGAATGGAACCCAGGTCTTAGTGTCTTAATTTGGTGATCTAGTCACTGGACCGTATTAGCCAGTATTAGGCTTTAGAGAACGGCAGAATCAGCGAGGAAATAGGTCTGTGTCTCTTTGTAAAAGGGGTCAAAAAACGGGTCAAAAACCAGATCTTCGCACAGTATTTCAGTGGTGTAACCTCAGCTGTTGGTGGCTCATGGACATGCTACTTGGCAGGAAATATGAAAGTGGGTTGTAATCTACCTGTGGGGAAAAGATTATTTTCATACAGCATATCTCTGTAACTGTAAGCTTTTCTGTTGGATATCAAGAACTTCTGAGAGGATATCATTTTCAGGGCTGCCCAGAGGATTCAGGGGGCCTGGGGCAAAGCAATTTCAGGGGCCCCTTCCATAAAAAAAAGTTGGAATACTATAGAATACTGTATTCTCTTGGGGGGCCCCTGTAGGGCCTGGGGCAAATTGCCCCACTTGCCCCCCCTCCCTCCGCCCCGGGGCGGCCCTGATCATTGTACCAAAATTCCACAACCCTGAAAATAGCTTTTCAATGGCTTCCATTGCGGCTCTTCCAAGAAAACACTTGTAGTAGGAAAACCTAATCTATCTGGCACCTGTCCATGGGATTGAGGAGCAGAGATGGGTCATCAGTTGCACAAACGAAGTATAAATTAGAATAAGCATAAATTTAGAATTCCGAGAAGGGGGCAATTTCTTCTAGCACAGCCACGTTCATAGTGCTAAGCAACAGTTATAATATTTCCGAGTAGCAGCCGTGTTAGTCTGTATCCGCAAAAAGAACAGGAGGACTTGTGGCATCTTAGAGACTAACAAATTTATTTGAGCATAAGCTTTCATGGGCTATAGCCTACTTCATCGGATGCATGTAGTGGAAAATACAGTTATAATATTGTTCCTTACCCAAACTCACAAAAGGAAACAAAGAGTTCTAGAATGTGTAAAAGGTGATCAAGATCATCTAGCTCAAATCTATCATTCAGACAAATCCAGTTGACGGGAAATGGGAAATCATTTGGTATACTACATATACACTGTAATGCTTTTCTCCATCCGTGAAATGCACCCTCTTTTTTGAGTGACTATTGCTCAACAGCTCACAGCAACACTATACAAAACAACACTGAGTAAAGAAAATACTGTATACAATTGAAACTAGAGGCTGAATTTAAGGGGTCAGAATGTAATTTCCTTAACATGAATTTGGACAAGTCACTGTAACACCTCTACTTTTGCAAAAAGTGCCATGAGATCTTTAATCACTACAGTTGCTCCGGACCTCTATTTTGAATTTTTTCCCCTAAAAGATGGCACTTCACATGACACAGGGCCTCCTAAAACTGATCGGAGTTGTAAAAGAAAGCCTGTCCTCACAAAATTCCTGCTCAGTGTTCCAGACTCAGAAGTTGAGATAAGGTCCCAAAAGCCTGTATGCTTATCTGAATTGGACCTCACCTCTCCTGTCTGAACCTATGTAATGTATTGCATCATGAATAATGTGCATGCATCTTATATGAATAACTTTAACTTCTTAGTTGGTAAGTCTCCCCCATGTGCTATTGACCATATTGCTTCAGAGTGTGGGCTCCTAGTTTATCACAGATAAGAGGGCCACTTTGACAACTTTATAGTTGACAGGGACCAGATGTCCTTTCATGCTTAAATTCATAGTATCATAGAATCATAGAAGATTAGAGTTGGAAGAGACCTCAGGAGGTCATCTAATACAACCTCCTGCTCAAAGCAGGACCAACCCCAACTAAATCATGCCAGCCAGGGCTTTGTCAAGCCAGGCCTTAAAAACCTCTAAGGATGGAGATTCCACCACCTCCTTAGGTTCACCACCCTCCTAGTGAAATAATGTTTCCTAATATCCAACCTAGACCTCCCCCATTGCAACTTGAGACCATTGCTCTTTGTTCTGTCATCTGACACCACTGAAAACAGCCGAGCTCCATCCCCTTTGGAACCCCCCTTCAGGTAGTTGAAGGCTGCTATAATCTCCCCCCCCCCCCCCCCCCTCCTACACACAGACTAAATAACCCCTGTTCCCTCAGCCTCTCCTCATAAGTCATGTGCTTCAGCCCCCTGATAATTTTTGTTGCCCTCCGCTGGACTCTCTCCAGTTTGTCCACATCCTTTCTGTAGTGGGGGACCCAAAACTGGACGCAATACTGCAGATGTGGCCTCACCAGTGCCGAATACAGGGAATAATCACTTCCTTCGATCTGCTGGCAGTGCTCATACGAATGCAGCCCAATATGCCGTTCGCTTTCTTGGCAACAAGGGCACGCTGTTGACTCACAGTTAAAACAAAAGGATTTCCCTTGGTCCCCCCCCATTGAATTATGGGTGTGGAGGATGGATGGAAGGCCCTAAAGTTTGCCTGTATTGTGGCATTTTCCCTCCTCCCTGCATCTGTACACATAATTTGAGAGGGCCTTTAAAATGCATTACATGCTAAATCAGAATTTGTTATAATCCAGATGCATGTTCATCTGTCTATGTAGACATTCACCACTGTCTACATCCAAGCACTTCAATAACTTTTCAGTAGAACACTTAATATCATCTGCTCAGAAGATCTTAAATAATAGTTTAGAGTAATCAAGGTTTGTACAGAGCCATTTTCATTCAAATTACTTGTCCATCAAACCAGCTTAACTACAAATAATTCTCCAAAAGTGGAAGATAATAAACTCCCTTCAGAGTAATTTTAACAAAACTACAAAATCTTTCAGGCTGTTTCTGTGAAACACTCCGTGATTGAAAGTAGGAGGCATGGCATTGCAATTTTGTATGTGTGTTTCTTTAGCATAGCAAAGATATTTGGTATGACTCAGAACCAAGAATAAATGTTAAAACAATAAGTGCACATGAATGGAAATATGTGGGATTGCTTAATGACAGTGCTGGGGCACAAAAGCAAATTAATGGAGTAGTTTCACAAGAAGGCACAATTTTTATGAAGCTTGGCTTTAAGGCCTGTTGGTTAGGAAACTTTTAAATCTATGTGGAATAAATTTGTGAATTTTATTTTACAGGAAATATTAGCAAAAATTGTACAAGTGACGGATGGTCAGAGATATTTCCAGATTACATAAGCGCTTGTGGTTATCATGACAATGGTGATGATAGTAAGGTAAGAAAAACAATTATTCTGTTCGTTCAGATGCAGATGTTCAAAAGAGTTTCATAGATTCCAAGGCCAGAAGGAACCATTGTGATCATCTAGTGAGGTCTGACCTCCTGTATAACAAATACCATAGAGCTTCCCCAAAATAATACCTCAAGCATATCTTTTAGAAAAACATCCCAATCTTGATTTTAAAATTGTCAGTGATGGAGAATCCAGCACAATCCTTGGTTAACTGTTCCAATGGTTAATTATATTCACCATTAAAAATGTACAACTTATTTCCAGTCTGAAATTATCTAGCTTGAACTTCCAACCATTGGATTGTGTTATACCTTTATCTGCTTGAAACTGTAGGGCCAAATTCTGCTCCCAAATACATGCATATTACTCTGAAATCTACAGGAATTGTGTACACGTTTGAGGGTACAGATCATCTTTTATTTGAGTTGAAATTCTCATCTAAGCTAAAGGTATGTCTACACTTTGAGCTGGGGGTCTGATTCCCAGAAAACATACTTGTGCTAGCTCAATGAAAAATAGAATGTAGCCATGACTGCACAAGCTGTGGGAGGGGCTAGGCCCCGGGTACATACCTGTATGAGACCCTAAGCATGTAGTCAGGGCCTATCCCACCACTGTGACTACACTCGATTTTTAGCATGCTAGCTTGATGAGAGGTAGTGCAAGAATGTCTTCTTGAGCTGGGAATCACACCTCCAACTGGAAGTGTAGACATACCCTAACAGCAGAGGTGTAGGGTTCATAAACTATAATGCTCAAAAACTCATGATTATTTTTATTATCATCATTATTATTTATTATTTGTATTACTGTAATTCCTAGTAGCCCCAGTTGTGGATCAGGACCCAGTGATGATGCCATTATCAGTGACTACTATAAGATTTCTGCTACTGTTGCATACTACTAACATTTTAAGCATTTGTGTATTTATAATACATACTAATTTTCCTTCAGTTTAATATGATTGTATACATTATTTAAACTGTACAGTACATTTAAATACATAGAATGAACATTTAGCTCTATTGTCTTCATTGGAATTACTCCAGATTTACATCAGTTTATAATGTACATCAGAGTGTGGACCAAAGGCTGTCAGGTATAGAATAAATGATCCTAGCAAGTGTAAAAATGTAATCCTCTCAGTTTGCCTCTACCATTTCTTGCCCTTATGTGTCTTTTGAGGAGAGCTACCAGGTCTTCCTGAATGACCTGCAGATTAGAACAATTAGATAACATTGAAATTTTTTAACAAGAAAAGGGAACACATTTTTCATAATCTTTGTTTATTTGTGAGAAATGTTCCTGTTTTTCTAGTAGTTCTGTAGTATCACACCAGAGCAAGACTTCACTTGCAAATGCAGGATTCCACCATCAGTCAAATTCCCATTCGCACATGGAGAGATGGGCTCCTCCTATGTACCTCCCAGGCGATGATAAAGTTGATGCCTATTCTTCAAGAAGGAATATCTCCCACTTCTTCCAGGTGCTTAATGACTTTGGTGGTGGGCACTAAAGAAATCTGTAAGATAGACAGATACCCACTTTGACTCAGCTGTCACTGCCAGCAGTTTGCTCCTTCCTGCCAGGATTGCCAGCAACACATGCCGTCAACTGTAGGCATGTCTGATATGCATGTTATCACTCATTGCCCTGTCTGCCAGATCTGATGAAATCCAAGCTAAAGATGTCATAGTCAGTGTCTAAGTGGTGGAGCTAGTCAGGGTGAAATAGGTTGAAGGAGTCAATGAATAGCCTGATCCTCAAAAGAGTGCATGAAATTTCCAGCTGACCTCTTTCAGGACCCTGTCCAGAGCAGCAGGCCTGTTATCCCAGCCTATGCCCATTCCCTCCTCCCCATCACCGTGTGTGTGCTTACACACACACACAATGAGTGCCAGAAACTCCCTCCTGATCTTTTTCCTGTCCCATTTCATGTGTTGTAACAGAGAACCAAACTTATTGTAAATATTATTAACTTGAGTTTCCTTCAAAATAATATAGGGATTCTAGATTCTTTTTAGACACTAAAAGAAAGAAAACAATGCCACTCCGTATACATATATGTGTTAACAGTAATCACTGTGCTCCATGAAAATACAATGTGTTTGGAAAACTATAATTAGTTCACTTCTGCTCTTTCTCAATTAGGACTCTGTCAAAACCCAGCGAGTACGTAACAGTTCCACATCTCACATATGCACATAGCTGCAATCTGTAGTCTCCACGTTTTTTTCCATTTTAAAGAACTTATTTTATTAGTTTATGTATATGAAAAGTTTTGCAAATATCATGAATTAGTGTGACTTATTAATGCATTAAAAAGTCCAGACATGTAAATAACTAAAAAATAGTTGACAAAGAAATGGACTGGAACATTTTATTCTCCCATTTTGTATGCAGATGGTTATTCTGAGATATTGGAATCCTCTGAATATTTGGAAAATGGAAAGTGCTTTACTGTTTCAGAGAACCATTTTTACAACCACCAAACTATCCTGTACCCAAACATTGTCACCTGAATTGAAAACCAACCAAAGGCCTATAAATAAAAAGGGATACATTGTAACATTCCTGATGGCAGATGAAGGAATTAGTATATGAATAGACCTGTTCTTATTTAACATTGTTGCTAATAATCTGGAGTGAAGAGAGTGAAACTTAAGTTAATTAAATTTGCAAATAATAGTGCAGAAGAAACTAGAGAGGCTGGAAATATGGCCAGAAGTAACCAAATGTGAATCAGCCTGGAATAAGGCAAACAACAATAACACATCTAGGGTAAAATCCACAAGATGGAAGTAGAAAGGAGATACTTAGCAGCCCATTGTTACTACAAGATCTTTTGTGGTGCTACTGCTTTCTAACTGGCTCTGAGCGGATAGTGTATTATGGAAACTGAGATAATGCAAATTTGGGCTGCATTTGAGGTGCCTCTTTCCTTATAGCGCTGGCATGGCTGACCCTGAAATATTGAGTTCAGTTCTGGGCACTTCTTTGCCAGAAAATAAATTGACCATGCCAATGTGACATGACAGAAAATTCCTTCCTGACAAGAAATTGGACAATCTGTTCAATGTTATCTAGTATCAAAAATAAAGTTAAATTTACAAGTTCTGGGTCAGTAGAAAGCAGCTATTTCCTGTGCAAATAGACAGTACATTCAAACAAGAATAGTTGGTTCTTTTAATTCTTAACATTTTATTTTATTTATAGTTTCAAAGTAGAGGAAGAAATATGAAAGTCTCTGTGCTGAGGCCTTGCTTAGAAATTTTGTGTTAGTGCCCACTGCAGGAAAACACATGCTCTGTTCAGAAAAGCACTTAAATATGTACTTCAGTGTCATTGAAGTCAGTGAGACTTAGCTATGTGTTTGAAGTGCTTTCCTGAATCGGGATGCTTCCTTGAAATGAGGCCTCAATACAGAGTTGCAGTACTATCAGAGAGTCACATCCTTAGCTGGTGGAAATCAGCATAGTTTAGCTGGATCTGGTCCTGAGTTTTGGCAAAAAGTGGGAAGAGGACCTGTGATGGAGTGTAACAAAGCCCACACTGGAAAGGAAGGGGTTAAAGAACAATTCTGGGCCCAGGCGGCGCCACCCCACTGTACCTGCAAAGCCTGAACTGGCTGGAGGAGAAGCTTAAAAAGGGGAGCAGAGGAGCTCAGTATTAGGCAGACAGTGGGAGGAAGCTGACCTGCCCTCTGAGCTCCTGGGAAGGAGCACGGCAGGAGCACTTGCTGCTTGAGGCCTGACTATAGCGACCTGTCCAAGCCTACAAAGAAGGACCTGTGACTCTCTAAAGGTTAGAGCCTTTATCATTGTGTGTTAGTACTTTATCTTGTGGGGAGAGAGGGGACTGCTAGGTAGTGATCCAGGGAGGCAGCTGCATAGCACCCTAAGCTGCAGGACTTAGCTGCCTGCCATTGGGCCCTGGGCTGGAGCCTGCTGGAAAGGGTGGGCTTGGGCCTGGGCCCCCATACCAGTCCCCAAAGAGGGACAGCTACAGAACTGTACCCCTTGGTGGGGAATCCCTAGTTGGGGGAAGACACAAGAGTCTGGACCATGAGACCCCAAACAAGGGGGAAGCCCTAAATCCCTTGCTTAATCCTGAAGACTTCCTTGTTATTGGACTCTTCCTATATAGCCTGAGAACGTGAGCTGGCTCAGGGCTGAGTCACTGAAAGGGCACACCATTACAGGGCAGAACGGTAGGGAAGAAAGGGGAATGCCCAGGGGGAAGCAGCTTCACCACTAGGCAGCACAGATGGTAAGTGTTCCCCTTCACAGGGCTCAGTGATGAAATCTTCACATTTCTTTTTCTTTGTACACCAGCAGTGTGTAAAAAGAAAGGAACTGCATTTGCATTGTGTGTCTATTAAGGGTATACATGGTGGTGTAGTGAGGTATTACCACTGGGATTATGGAAACAGGAGGTTTAATGTTTTAGACCAGATTCTGATACCCTCATTCATATTGAATAGCCATTTCCTCTGCAACCAGTACCCTTGAAGATAGTGTTGTTCAGTATGTGCCAGGCTAGTGAAATCTGGTTCTTAATTTGTTGCCTACAGATATAGCAGTTTATCTTTGCTGCTGAATGAGTTTCTCATAGATTCAGTTCATATCGAGTGCAGTTCCGCAGGGATCGGTCCTGGGTCTAGTTCTGTTTAATATTTTCATCAATGATTTAAATAATGGCATAGAGAGTATACTTACAAGGTTTGTGGATGATACCAAACTGGGAGGGGTTGCAAGTGCTTTGGAGGGTAGGATTAAAATTCAAAATGATCTGGACAAACTGGAGAAATGGTATGAAGTAAATATGATAAAATTCAATAAAGACAAATGCAAAGTACTCTATTTAGGATGGAACAATCAGTTGCATACATACAAAATGGGAAATGACTGCCTAGGAAGGAGTACTGTGGAAAGGGATCTGGGGTTTATAGCTAAATATGAGTCAACAGTGTAACACTGTTG